CAGAAGCCCCGCCCCCTACCGCCCAGTCTGCAGCTGCTTTGCCTGGGCGCCCCCTCTCTTTTGCGTGAGCCTCTCCTCTTCTTTGCTGTTCTTTCCTCAGCCTCCCTTTCCATGTCCCCTTCCCATTCTCCCCTCCTTCCTTCCTCCCTCCCTTCCTCCCTCTCCCAAGGTTCTTCTCCCCTGTCTTCCTTTCTTTCCCTCCTTCCTTCTCCTTCAGTCTGTTGGCCTCACCCCTGCCTTGGTCCGCTTGTCTGCCTGGTGGGGTCCCTGTCTTTTTCAACATGGATTTCCTGCTTGGCTTTTACCTTGCCTCGGTTGTCTGTCCTCTTTGTTTCTCTGGTTCTGTCATCCTCTCCTCTCTCCATGATTGGGTGTCCTTGGTTGGGGGGCTTCCCGTGAGATCACTGAATATCACTGGGAATCACTGGACTCCTGGTACCAAGCTGGGGGGTAGATGGGTAGGACTGTCCACTGCAGGGGTTGGTCATGGAGATACAAACAAGTAGCTGTGTGTGTGTGTGTGTGTGTGTGTGTGTGTGTGTGTCTGTCTGTCTGTCTGTCTGTCTGTCTCTACAGGTGGTAAACAGGACCCCAAAAGGAAACAGCACCTTGACAAACAGGGACGCCAAGGACTCAGACCCCCCTCCACCTTCCAGCTCTTAAGGTTTGAGGAACAGTCCCAGAGAAACTGCCCTCTCAGCCAATCCCAATCTGGAGACTGCCTCACCCTGTCAAAGCCCTGACGGCCCCACCCTCTTTCACAAAGGCTCCTGAAAATGGCCACCAGAGCCTTCCCTTCTGGGTTCCCCAAGGACTCATAGAAAAGAGTCCTTTTGTCCAGGTCTGACCTAATCTGACCTCATACCTTTGTCCTCTGAACTGGCATTTGCTAATTGACACCCCATTCCCCCACTTTACCTACCCTTCCTGCTTCATCTGAACTGGGATCCCCAAACCCAGTGCTCTCCAAGTCTCACCCTGACTTCTCATCTCTTTCCCCACATTTTCACCCATAAACATGGATTCCTGGATTTTTCCTTGACCTATCTAATTTCCTTCCATTACGCCCCCCCCTGCGAAAGTTCCCACCACTCTCAATAGTTCTATCAACTTGGGGGACCAAGCCTTCAAGATGCGAGCCTTTGGGGGGATATTTAAGATCTGAACCATAGCAGACATGGTGGTGGACAAGACAGGTAGGCAGAGACCTGAGGGTGGTCCAGGTCCAGTGTGAGACACAGGCTTTCTCAAATAGCCACAGGAGGCCAACCTCACCAGCTCTGCCAGACATGGGCAGGGGTCCTGTCCATTTTGGAATGTTGCAGGAATTTTCCCTTAAGGAAGTACAATGGACCCAAGAGCCAAAGAATGAAAGGGAGCTCTCTGGATGCAGGGGTGGGGCACAGCTTTGAGCAAATCGAGGAGGGTAGCAAGAACAGAGGGCTAGTTTTGCTTGGCCTAGGTTCATTTCAACTTTCTCAGGTGACAGCACAATTCTACCTATATTCTTGATCAGAAGTTAATTCCTCTCTCTTTTCATCATTTATGCCAAGTCAATTTCCTAGATGTTGACCATCTGACACTTGAATGATCCCCACCACATTCTCCACTCCCCACCTGACCCCTCTGTAACTGTCCAGCACCTGTCTTCATCTCTCCAGTGATGGGGAGCTCATTATTCCACCAGGCAGATGATTTCAAACAACAGACTCTTAGCATAGTAGAGTTCTCAGCTCTGTTTGGAGGGCATGGGACTTCAGCTAAGGGTCACTGTATTGGGGAATTGAGGTGGCTGCATGAAGGGCCTCTGTGCCCTTCCAAAAAGCCTGGCTTAAGATCATTCAGAGAACTCACATGCATCTGCCCACTGCCCCCTGTGAGCTAGGATTGCAAGCTCCGCAGACCAACATTCCCCAGGAATGTACACTACCAACTGCTGGTGGTAGCCAGGAGAATTTTTGGTAGAGTGGAATGGCTTAGGGTGAAAAGTCTCTTCCTACCATCTCCCTGAGACATTCTTTTGATTTCTACCAATGAGTAGAAATGCTAACCAGTACTTATTACCTCTTTAAAGAATTGACTATTCACATTCAAACAAAGAGGGGGCAGTAAGCCCTGGGCCTCCAACCTTGGTAGAAAATGGTATGCAATGTGCACTAGATGCATTTTTCATTTGTCCTTGAAAGCCTATTTCTGGCAAGTAATACTGGTCTTCTAGTGACAGTGTGATGTAAAGTTTCCTTTTGAGATATATTTATTTAATCTAAATAAGGAAAATATTTAAGTAAATAAAAATAGACACGGTGCACAGATTTTTGCTAAACCTTGTGGCTGGTTTGCAAAAGTTTGAGCGGTCTAATTCAGCGAAATAGTTCATGTGTCCATTCACTCCACAAACGTGCATCTCCTTAGCACCGGGCATGGAGGAGGACTAGACCAAGAGACACCAGAGTCTCTGGAAGATTCCATTAGAGTGGGCAGGTCTGAGTACCATAGTAAGGGATTGAACCTTGACCTTGAGGGGCAGGGTAGTGCCTCTGAATACTCTAGAGCTGAAGAGTAGGGTTTAAGAAAGCTGAGACTTACCTGTGCAGAGGCACACGCCTGTAATCCCAGTGGCTCGGGAGGCTGAGGCAGGAGGATCATGAGTTCAAAGCCAGCCTCAGCAAAAGCGAGGAACTAAGCAACTCAGCGAGACCCTGTCTCTAAATAAAATACAAAATAGGGCTGGGGATGTGCTCAGGGGTCAAGTGCCCCTGGAAAAAAGGAAAGCTGAGACTGGCCATCGATTAGGATCGATTGAAGGGGAGAAGATTGGGAGTCAGAAGACTATGGAGTTAGCTGTAGTATCATAGATGTGAGGGGTGGAGTCACCTGAGCTCCCAGCACATGGTCCGTACTCAGTAAAAGTGAAGGCCATCTGACTGGGAATGGTCATCAGATAATTCCTAGTGGAACTCTTTAATGGGTAAACTGAGGCCCAGAGAGGAGAAGTGACTTGCCTGAGGGCACCTGGCAATCTGGTGGCAGAGCCAGGGAGCCCATGGCCACTAGCTGTGTTTCTGCGTTCTTTCTGCATGTTAATCACTAACCCGTGGGGAAACCAAGGCACAGAGAGATTGAGTCACTGGCTCAGAGACACACAGTAGAGAAACCGAAGCTTTGCCACCTCTAAAGCCAGAGCTTAGGGCCAGTAACTTATTAATTGTGTCCCTGAACCTTCTCACCATTCCAGACTGCCTCTCATCAGGCCAAGGTGCTGCTGTGAGAAAGAGAGTTGGTTTGGAAATGCACAAAGCTGTAACAAACCTGCTGGGTGACCTCAGGCAAATCCCTTCCCCTCTCTGAACCCATTTCCTTCCCAGCAAATTAAAGGACTCGCACTTTTGGTCTACCATCCCAAGTCACCAGGCTGCGGGCGAGATGCTCTGTGGGGCAGGCTGTGCTGAGGGTCTGTTCTCCTACCTCTCATCTCAGCCTCCTCAAGACCCCCATCCGCTGCTCACAGCAGGCTTTGTCTCCATGACAACATACAATTCCATCTTCCAGACTTGCCAAAATTATTGTAAGATGGAGGAACCCCCCTCCTCCCATGCACACACACACACAGCAGATCTCTTCCGTTGGGGGAGATGGGCCTTGTGTGCTGCTTTCAGAAGGAATGCTATTACCTCTGCACACTTGTCCCTGAAGGCAGGAGAGTTGCTGCAGTCACGTGTGCAACCACTCGAAAAGCCACAGCAAACCTCGCAGGAGATAATAGAACTTAAGACCATTTCATTATCCTGTCCCCGAGTCACAGTGGGGCATATCACTGCTGGCTGCGGCTTATTGCTGACTGTTAAATATTTGTGCAGGTCAGACCATGCTGGGATCAATACTGAAAGACTTCAACAGGATGACGCTTCCACAGAGTCGATGCCCGCACCGTGCCCTCCTCAAATATGGCCTAGGAGCAGCCCTGGAGACAGCCCCTCACTCTCCAGGGGATGGCTTGACCAACATTTCTCGGCACTGAGGGTAATGTGTAGACTCGGGAGCTAGACAGACCTTGGGCAAGGAGTGTCACTTTTCTGGGCCTCGGTTTCCTCATCTGTAAAATGAGAACTAAAATTGTATGGGTCTCAAAAAGTTGCTATGCGGTAGGAGCTCAGTCTGTATTTATAACGATGCCGTCATTTGTAAGGAGTCTTCATCATCCTTATGCTCTCTCTGGTTCTAGTTGAGGGTCAAGGTCATGCCCCCAGGTTCTAGTTGAGGGTCAAGGTCATCCTTAAATGCTTCGCCCTCTAAGAATCTTGCCTGATATCTGTTCCATGCGTGTGTGATTTCTTCTTTCCTGGAATTCTCACACATATCTTGGTTTTGCTTCTGTTGGGTATTGGACTCTTTGGTGGGGACAGAGACTGTCCTCCCGTGGAGTCCTGTACACAATAGGGATTCAGACTTGTTGACCTTGACTCTCAGGGAGCCTGGGACTCTTGGATCCCCTTCCACATACATTGCTGGCATGCCACCCTATGAGGCTACTTTTAGTGCCCTTCAAAAGGTTTCAACTAGATCTCCTTAGGTGTCCATGGATCTATACATGTATGGCTTTCTTAAAAGTCACGAGAATCCCAGTGCCGTGGCCCACGCCTGTCATCTCAGTGGCTGGGGAGGCTGAGGCAGGAGGATCACAAGGTGGAGGCCAGCCTCAGCCAGTTGGCTAGGCCCTAAGCAATTCAGCGAGAACTTGTCTCTAAATAAAATCTAAAAAGGGCTGGAGATGGGGCTCGGTGGTAGAGCGCTTGCCTCACACGTGTGAGGCATTGGGTTCGATCCTCAGCACCACATAAAAATAAACAAATAAAATAAAGGCATGCTGTGCATCTACAACTACAAAAAAAATTTTATAAAAGGGCTGGGGATGTTCAGTAGTTAAGCACCCCTGGGTTCAATCTCCAGTTCCCTCCACCCAAAAAAAAAGTTATAAAGCACATTACAGCTTCAGTCCCATGCACCCAATTTCCATGGAAATGAGGGTAGAATCACCCCACTGACTCACATGCATGATACAGTCCTCAACACTTTATGTGAATAAAACCATTTAACCCCTGCAAGACCTATGTGGGAGGTCCCACCCTTGACCATCCAATATATAAAGAAGAGAGGCTCGGTGAAGGGAAGTCCTGGTCCTAGGTCACACTTTTTTTTTTTTTTTTGAGATATGTCTTATTAAATTGGTGAGGCTGGCCTCGAACTTGCCATCCTTCTTCCTCAGCCTCCTGAGTACCTGGGATTACAGGTTTACACTACTGTGCTCGGCTTCAAATCCACACTCTTTTTTTTTAAAAAAATATTTTTTAGTTATAGATGGACACAATACCCTTATTTATTTATCTTTATGTGGTGCTGAGGATCAAATCCAGGGTTTCACATAGGCCGGGGGAACGCTCTACCACTGAGCCACAACCCCAGCCCACAAATCCACACTCTTTTAACCACAGTCTTGACCTTGAGGCTACACTGTGTCCTGTGTGGGCTGTATTTGGAGAGGCAAATTCCCAACCGCACCTCCATGCCTAATTTGGAGCATTATAACCAGAACTGGGGAAATGGTTGGTGAATAGGCAAAACCTCTGTGTGTCCCCATGTCACCTTTGGCCTTTGAACTTAATCTTGGGAGCCCTGGAGGAGGGTGCAGATCAGATCTGAATCTTAGAAAGTTCTATCCAAGAGGCATGTGGCTGGGGAATGAAGCTTCATTAGAAAGTTTCTGATTAATGGAGTCTTTGTTTGGGCTTCTCCAGAAACAGTCGGAAAGAACTTGGACACAGTGGCTCATTCAGGATGCAGGGGACATGGGTAGGGGAGTGAGATGGGAGATCGGGAAGAGAGGGTAGCCATAAAGGGTACATGGTTGAGCTCTGCCAGTTTAGGCGACTAAAGCTTCATCCCATGGAGAAACTCTAGGAAACTGTGTCTCATTCTCCTCAGAATCATCCTTTCCCCAGGAGCAAGGCAGCTGCTGGGATATGTGGGTCAGCTTTCTGTTACTGTAACAACAAATACCTGAGATGGTCGATTTATAAGGAAGAAAGGTCTCTTTTTGCCCATGGTTTCAGAGGGTTTTGTGCATGGTTTGTTGGCCTGTGGTAAGGCCGCACGTCACGGCAGGAGGAGCATATAGCAGGGCAGTTTTTCACCTTGTGGCCTCCAAGGAGCAAACAGAGAGAAAGAGAGGGAGACCAGCATCCCATCATTCCCTTCAAGAGCATGCTTCCCAATGACCTCATTTTTTTCCCACTAAGCCCCACCTCTTAAAGGTTCTACCACCTCCCAGGAACAACACAGGTTGGGGACCAAGCCTTTAACACATGGATCTTTGGGGACCACTCCATATCTTAGCTCTAGTGCTTGGGCACCATAAAGGCTACTCCTTTTTTTTTTGGAATTTTTGCCTTCCAAAAGCTGTGGGCAGTGGACCATAGGGATCAAGAATCCAGACCTTGGAGCCAAAAGTCCTGGGTTCATCCCAGCTCGGGGGGTCATTGCTGGGCCTAGGTTTCTTCCTCTCCTCCATGGGCACAGCCATGACTACCCAGGATCAGTGGGAGGGATTCATGACACTCAGGGCCTGGCAGGGAGCGAAGGCCCCATCTGGGCTGGCCGCATCTGGACGCCTCTATCTTCAGAAGCTCACAAACAGCGAGTGTGAGCTCCGCGCTCATTATCTGCCGTCAGAATGGCAGCTAATCACAATATCATTATTTATGAGAGAAACAGAAATACAGATTCAGCACTTTCATTCCAAGCGGAAGCTATTGACATTCCTAGAATAGTTCTGGGAACGGGAAAGCCCACCCTTCTAGGCCCCTTTAGAAACAATTTGCAATCAGTGGGAGAGGCCTGGGGCCAGCCGTGGGGGCCTTTCTTGCTCTCTCTGATAAGGGGGTGGTAAAGGAGGCCAGGGCTGGGGGTTGGACAGGAACTGCTGAGCCCTTGGAGTGCAGCCTGTGGGAAGGGGCTAGAGGGGTGGCAGTGCCCCGACCGGCAGGACACATCAACGTGGGCAGCGAACCTAGATGGGGAGGAATGAAGGGACAAGAGACACGAAGGGTGACAGCAAGACAAAAGTTCTGATCAAGCTGCAAACTTTTATTGTTCACACAGGGGTATTTATGGGCTGGGGATGGGGGGAGCTCTCTTATCGGCAGTTGCTAGAAGTCTTCACAAGGTGAGATAGCGCAGGATGTCTCAGGGAGATGGATGGCTGCAGGGTGTCTCCCAGGCGAGATGTCTCCTAGGGGGCTGTTTCTTGTAACTGTCAGGCTATTCTTTGAAGGAGAACTCCCTTTTGGTTTCTGGCACTGTCAGGCTATTCTTTGAAGGAGAACTCCCTTTTGGTCCCTGGCACTGTCAGGCTATTCTTTGAAGGAGAACTCCCTTTTGGTCCCTGGCATGGCAGGTCGGGGAGGAGGGGACATGGGGTGTCTGCACCTGCTTCCTCCCTCTCTCCAGAACTCTTGGACTTCCATTTTGTCTTCTGTTCTTTCCCTCTCTCTCTCTCTCTCTCTCTCTCTCTCTCTCTCTCTCTCTCTCTTGTACTGGAGATTGAGCCCAGGGGTGCACAACCACTGAGCCACACGCCCAGCCCTTTTTTACATTTTATTTAGAGACAGGGTCTCACTGCGTGGCTGAGGGCCTGGCTAAGTTGCTGAGGCTGGCCTCCAACTTGTGATCCTCCTGCCTCAGCCTCCTTCTCTTCTTCTTTTGTTCTCCTTCCCTTTCCCTCTTCTAAAGCATGCCAACATTTCAGGTATTTACACCTTAGAAACTATTCCAATATTGAACACAGAAGTTGATTTTGAGCATCACACTTAATCACGTACCCACCACACCCAGCCAACAGATCATTGTGATGTCTAGGTCAGACGAGCCAAACCCAATTTCCAAGGGACCATGACTCAAGAGTCCCTGACTTCAGCATCAGGGCAATGGTGCTCTGAGGGAGCCATGCAGAACAGGACAGCAGCCCTGTGGACAGAACCAAGCTCTCTCTGTGCCACGTGAATGGGATGCATGAGCCCTTAAGCGCAAAGAGACAGGTGGGAGCTGCTCTTGCTGTTGACCTAGTGGCCGGTGCTTTAGCACTTTAAATGAACTAGGATGGAGTGGGGGGTGTGTGGCCCAGGAGGAAGAGGAGGGCCAGGTGCCTCAGGTGCCATGTCATGGGCAAAAGTATCTGAGGAACTTTGCCTGCATTTGGAGGAAGAGGAGGAAGAAGAGCAAAGGGGAAGGCATGGGAGAGACCCGGGTGTTAAAATGCACAGTGTCTAGCTAGACTTTTCTGCGCATCATGGACCCTGGTGGCATGCCATTGTAACGTGGGACCCCTTCTCAGAATGACACTTTCAAATGCATGAAATACAATACACGAGATGGCAAAGGAAGACGGTCTTCAAACTATTTTAAAAATTGAAACTGTGATATTTACATATATGCCCTTCTCTGTTAATGCATTAAGCCATGAGCTCTAATATCAAATCTAATGGAATTCCTTCCTTCCTTAGCTAGGCTCTGAGCAACTTAGTGAGACCCCATCTCTAAATAAAATTTTAAAAAGGGTTGGGGGTGTTGCTCAGTGGTTATGCACCCCTGGGTTCAATCCTTAGTACCAAAAAAAAAAAAAAAAAAAAAAGAACTGAAGACAAATGTTCCTTCCTTTCACACAGGAGATTTATCCCTGGGTCGCTTAACCACAAAGCCACATCCCCAGCCCCTTTTTAATATTTTGTTTAGAGACAGGGTCTCACTGAGTTGCTTAGGGCATGGTTAAGTTGCTGAGGCCAGCTTTGAACTCATGATCCTCCTGCCTCACCAGGACTATGGGCGTGCAGTACCGCGCCTGGCCACTAATGGAATTTCAAAGCTGCGATGCATGTGAACAACATGGAAGAGATTTCTTCAACAACCATAAAGTGACACTAAAACCATCTGTGGTTTCTATTGGCTGCAGGGTCACACAGGTATGGCTCACATGTCCGTGGTTTGTGACCTTTATTCCAAATGGAAAGCAAAGAATATAAAAAAGCTATTCTCATGCAAGTTTACAGAGCCCTGAGTTCCCTCTGCACTGTGGCCTGTGAGCAGGAGTCCCTGGGCTGGACATACAAACGGCCACTTTGGAAGCTAGAGGGGTCCCTTCTGCAGAGTTTGCAAGGAGGCTCAGTCCCTGGTGACCTTGCGAAGCTCCAGGGAACAGGTGTGAAGGAGGGGAGAGAGGGCACTTTCTTGTCCTCATGTGTGCCTGACCTATAGCACCAGTTTTAAAGTATTTGATAATACTTTAATAATATCTTACATTTAAAAATGACTGTGTTTCTCAAGGCTTATCTATTGTGATCCTTTAGAGATTTATCAAGGTCACACGGCTAGTGAACGTTGATGTCAACTCAGATCTTGGGCTCTTTATCCAGCATCAAAAAGTGGAAGAGATGAGGCTGAGAAGCAAAAGTAAGGAGAGACCATGGGGAACCCTGAGTCCTAGACAGAGGCACGAAGACAAAGTCCTCGTGGGGCAGTGGGGAGCCAAGGAAGGTTCTTGAGCAGGAGAATGATTTGGAAGCCTTGGCAAAATTAATCTGGTGATGGTGTGTGGTGTGGGCTATATTGGGAGAGAGGGGATGGGGACTGAGAGGCATCACTTGGTGGCTGCAGTGATTCAGGAATGAATAATGACCCACGCCTGGCCAATCATCTTCTCCACTACGGTGATTGGTTCAGAGAAGAGCATGTGACTCAAAGTGGGCCAATCAGAATGAATCCTGGGAATTTTGCAGCTGACAGCCCTGTGGTCCCTTACAAAAAAACAAAAACAAAAACAAAAACAAAAAAACCATTTATCTGTCTAAAAATAAAGCTAGAATAGGGGCAAATAGTGGTGGTGGCAGTGAAGAGAGTCATTGTGAGTCCTAATGATATCCTCTGAGTCCCTGGATCCAGCCATGCCTGAAATTGCCATGAACTTTTCTCTTATGTGACCTAAGAAGGTTTTCTGCCCCAGATAATATGTATTTATGTTAAGCTTGCTTGGCAGTGAGATTCTGTTGCTGGCTATCCGAAACAGTCCTGCCCAATACACCAGAAGGGCACCTAGGTCAAAGGGCAGCATTCTTTAGCCCATAAACCAAATTTGCCTTATTTATGCGTTTTTGTTTTGTTTGGTGTCAGGGATAGAACTCAAGCCCTTGCACATGCTCAGCAACTGCTTTACCACTAAGCCATGCCCCCCCCCCCACCAGCCCTGGTCTACTACCTCTTTGTTTTAAATAAAGTTTTATTGGAACACAGGCATGCTTACATATTATCTTTGATTGTTTTTGCACTAGGAGTTAGAGTTGAGCAGTTGTGACGGAAACAACGTGGCCCTCAGAACCTAAATATTTACTATGTGGACTTTCACAAACAAGATCTTCCAGATTCATCTTCTGGATTAATCTCTTCTTACCTTTTAGAGGTACAAACTGGGGCTCAGAGAAGGCCTTGCCTACTAAAGTTGGGGCACAGCTACCCAGGGTTTTCTGATTCAAGGTCTGGAAGCCTTTTTGCTGTCTCTCCTTGTCCCTGAGCTTTCCAAAGGTGCTTGATTCACTTGGCAACGGTCTTGCTCTGTTAGGCCGAGACAAAATTCTTTTCTGAAGCTTTCCCTGTGATGCTCCTGGTAGACGCAGGAGCCAGCCGGGGGAAATTGAAATCCATAAATAACTGAGCCTCACACCCCAGCCAGCCCAGCCCAGCCCAGCCCCCATCACCTAGGGATCTGCTATCTGGAGCTTGGAGCCAGGGCTGATATGGAGACGAGTGTCCTGCTTGGGACCTTCTCCAAATTCCACGGATGCCTTCCGGCCGTGGAATCCAGGACTGGAGGAAGGTCCAGTTGAAAATTGCTTTTTCCATCCTCTGAATGAGATAGAGCAAGAGCTTGGGGACTCCTCCATCTAATGGAGCCAAGAGAGGACTGGGGCATAGGAGCTGGGGGATGGGCAGCCGTAAAGAGGGCTTTCTAGAGGAGAGAGGCTGGAGAATTCAGAGGGGACATTAAAAAAAATGCCCATAAACCCCTTTGCCACCTTAGTGGTCCTTCACCTCTCCTAGTTCTCTTCACTCCAGCTACATAGGTGTATGCCCTGAATATAACAAACCCCCTCCTCTACCTCAGGGCCTTTGCACTTGCTGCAACCCTTCTCTGAGTTTTGTCTGGCTGTTTCCTCCTGATTATTTAAGTCTCTACATCCTGGTCATTGTCCTTGTCTCACAGCCCTACCTGAGCCTCCCTTTTTTCCTCCTTATATCACTGACCTCTAAGGAGTTCAGGGTGGTCAGGAGCTGCCAGGGGAGACAGGAAGAGTCCTTGGAGGGGAACAGTGTATACAAAGCATCCAATGTGGCAGGAGTGGGGAACTTGAAGCAAGAGGACGGCGGGGCTCGGAACCTAAGGGCGCAGGTGGTGAGACCTCATGTAGCACGTTGGAGGCTGAACCAGGTGGGAGGGCCCATGTCAAGAATCTATTAGAATCAGAAAGCAAATCCCAGGGAGGGGCCTGGCCCAGGGCATGCTCTGGCTCTGGGGGAAGGATGAGGTGGTTGACACAGAAGAAGATAGGGTGACCTGACCTCTCTGCTCTGTTTCTCCCACCCCCAGCACTGCTGTCCTGCCATAGCCCAGGCTGGGTGTCACCAGGCTGTGTGTTGAGAGGCTTCCTGGAGGCTGCGTGAGCTGCCTGGACCCATTTAGAAGGTGTGAAGAGAGACAGGCCATGGCCCAGCCTCACTTTGGCTGTAAGTGCCCTGTGCATGACTGGGCACCACTCTGTTCCTTAGTTTCTTCATCCGTCCATGGGGAGAACTGTCTTTTGGGGTTTGCAATGCTCCACTGAGACTCTCACATCAAATGCTGACCACAGGAGCCTGTCACGGGTCCAATACCCAAGGACAGGGCCACCCTTTCAGTGACCAACAGGGCTGGCTCCTTCTGGCTGGAGGGCCCGAAAACCAGGAGGAGAGAAATTTTTGCTGAAAGCTTTGGGGGGAGTTCAGAGCATTCTGGAAACCCCCCAGTCCCCTCCTGGTGAAATTTCAAGGCTGGACCTGTCCCGAACCCCAGCCTCTGACTCCTGTCCCTAGGTGTCATCCTGAGACCAGGAGAGGGACCCCTATCTGCAGAGCTGGTAGCCACAGACCAAATCTGGGCCACAGTCACCGAGTGCAAGCCAGGTGGAGACAGCCACCACGTGGGAGGTGACAGATGGCTGCAAATGAGGGGTGAAGGAACCCGCTAAATGATCAGCTGGGAAATTGAGCATCTCGCCTCCCATCTGTGACAGCCTTTTCCCCGTGGAAGGGAGCTCGTGCGCGGGTGGGAGTGCGGGGGCCTGTCTGTGTACATACAGGAGGCCGTGCCAGGGCTGGGACCAGGGTGAGTGCGCATGCGCACAGAGACACACTCGGCCCCGGGCTCTCCACCACCACATGCACGTTCACATCTGTCCATTCATCCCCAGGCTCTTGCACGCCCCTCTTGCACGATTTCATGCATTCAGAAATGCCAGCCGGGCTTGTGTCCACACCCAGGGGACAGGCGCTCCAACAGGAAGATAGACACCCCTGCGCTTCCTTGCATAAACCATTTCGAAGGAGCCCCTTCCCCATGACTGAGCAAATGTGCATTTGCATCGGCTTCTGGTGTGCATGGGATGCCAGCAGTTCGGGCTGGGTTCTGGCTCACAGATCAGTCCTATACCTCCTCAGGAAGGGAGGTGACACTTCCCTTACTGTTGGAGCCAGGCTTGGCCACATGTCAGTGTTGGCAAGGAAATTGCTGCTTGTCACTGCTGGGCAGGAGCGTGAAGAGGCGGTCCGGGCCCCTTCAAGTTCTCTTCCCCCTCTGCATGGTGAGCAGCAGCATCCTCCCGTGCAATCTGGGTTTCAGGGTGCAGTCTTCAGGAGGCAGAGCCACAGGCGACCTGCAAATTCCCTGGTTGACCTGGGACAGTGCTGATTGTGTTCAAGAGCTGAGCCCATCACCTTGAGCACATCTATTCATGAGATCCCCCACAGGAGCCCTTGGGGGGACACATCTGCATCAAGGTGCCCTTTGCAGACCTCTGTGGGACTCACAGCCTGACCCCCTTTATAGACGGGAGCCCATAGCAGGAGGGAGCAAAAGGGGTCTTGGAATGGCCTGGGGTTGGGATCCTGAGGAGTGAGTGGCCCCATTTTGGTGGAACTTTGGGCAGGTGTCTCCTGGGTACAGCTCTCAGAGCTGTTCTTCCAGATATCCATGAGACCGTGGTGTTGATGTCAGAAAGACCTAAATTCAAGTCCCGGTTTATTTATTTCCTGACTGTGGGACTTTTGAGTATAGGACTTAACTTGAACCTGCCTTAGTTTTCCCATCTGCAAAATGGATATAATAACCCGGGGCTGGGCTTGTGGCTCAGTGGTAGAGTACTGGCCTAGCATGCACGAGGCAGTGGGTCCCATCCTCAGCACCACATAAATGTAAAAATAAAGATATTATGTCCACCTAAAACTTAAAAATAAATATTTTTAAAAAATGGATCTAATAACCATTAGGTTATTTTGAGGATGAAATGAGAAGATGCTCAGAGCATCCCCAGGCAGGTTGGGATCAGACTCTGCCTCTTTCCTAGAAGGCCTATTTCTGATGCTTCTTCCTCTAGGAAGCCTGCCTTGATCTCCTCTTCCTCCGGACTCATAGAGCACTTGAGTCCTGATTCAAACACCTTTCTAGGTTCCATTGTGGATTAGAGCCCCATCATTCATGAGTCTGTCGAGCCCCTTTGTACCAGGCGCTGGGCCGAGGGCTGGGTGCAAAGTTGGATATGATGAAATTGCTGCCAGAATTGAGCCCCACTGACTGGGGACCAGGCTGAAGCTTGTGGCTTCGATCCTTCCCCCTCCTGTCCTTCCTTCTGCTCCATGCTCACCTCTCACGGGCCTACAGGGTGCCTTTGCAAAGGGAACCCAGGGAGAAGTTCCTGCCGGAGCCCTCAGGAGGCCACCGTGTCTTCAGAGTGGCTTTAATTAGCATCTGGGAGCTGATCCGGGGTTGGCGTATTAACGAGCCATTGAGTCAGAGCCAGTTTTTCCAGTGTGCTGGGGTTTTGTCTTTTTTAAAAAAATTTCTGATGAATTAATCACTTCTGACAGTTCCAAACAGCGACTCTGTGCTCACCCAGAGGATGACGGAGATGGCCATGGGCTGGGCCACCAGGGCCCAGGCCAGTCATGCTGCCCGTAGCACAGGCTGCCCCATCAGCATGTCTGGCAGCCCAGCCTGGCCTCCTGGCCTCCTCATTAGGGTCTGGCCAGTGTCTCCTTCCCATGCACTTTCCCGGCGCCCTAATCCACTCTGATCACACGCCTGGCCCATCCAGCCTCCCCTGTTGGAATGGGAGCCTCTTCCTCTATTTCTGTCCCTCAATTCAAACAAACAATATTCTTCCTTTTATTTGTGTGTAGGGGAATAACAATGTACAGAAAATCATATGTTCTCAGCAGCCTGTTTTCCTCCCACAAAGAAAGAGATCTGTTTTATTCAGATGAATAATTGTATGCTGTTTTGTTTTTTTTTGTGTGGGGGGGAGCAGGTGGGATTGGGAATAAGATCTCCAATAGGAATGCTGGACCAATTACCACTTGAAGGATGCAAATTGAAGGCTGAATGGAATGGTTCCAGTGGTACCGGGACTTTAAGATACCAGGTGGGAAGGCTGTTATGGTGGCGCATGCCTGTCATTCCAGCGGCTTGGGAGGCTGAGGCAGGAGGATTGCGAGTTCAAAGTCAGCCTCAGCAACAGCGAGGCACTAAGCAAGTCAGTGAGATCCTGTCTCAAAATAAATTGCAAAATAGGGCTGGGGATAGGGCTCAGTGGTTGAGTGCCCCTGAGTTCAATTCCTGTTATCCAGAGAGAGAGAGGGGGTGGGGAGGGAGGGAGGGAGACCACTTGGGAGAAGAGAAAAGATAAAAGAAGAGGAGACCAGGGCACTTGGAGTTGATCGCAGTCTGGAGACTGGACCAGATCTGGGGTCTCAAGACAGAAACATCCCTGACTCCTTCACCTTGTATCTTCCCCTCTTCCAAGCTCCTTTGCCTGAGCCTGACTCTTCCAAGGAAACACAGAGCATGCCCCACATCAGAATGTTAGATATAGGCAGGATCAGCATCAGAACACAGAGCCCTAGCTCCATCCCGTCCTCCACTGTGTCTTTAGGCAAACCTTTCTGAGCCTCAATTTTAATATCTGCAAAATGGGCCCATTGAGGGCCATTGCGTGGATTCAGTGAAATAATGAATGGAAAGACTTTGGAGATGTATCTTGTCTGCCGATGCTGTTCACTAGGATCTTCCATTTCTTTTCTTTTTTTTTATCCTGCCATCCCTTGCTTCTTTCTTCTCTTATTTTTTTTTCCCTTCCTGGGAAAGAA